GAGGCTGGCTTTGAACTTGTAATACTCCTGCCTCAGCCTCCCAAGCCACTGTAATTACAGGCATGTGTCACCATGCCCGACTTATATATACATTTTTTAAAAGAGGTCTTATTTATCCTCTGGAAGAATTCTGTGACCCAAGAAAAATTTAGCATCATTGTTTTAGGAGCTTTCTATTCTCTAAAATTTTTATATTGAATTTAAAACACATTCACATCTCTGTCATAGTCTCTTAATGTGTATTTTCTAAAACTCTTTTGAGTCTCTACTACTCTTCTGTGGGCTTATATATTCCTTCAGATCAGGATTCGAATTCCAGAGTTCAAGCCACAAACCTTAATGGACTTTGGTTCTGGTACTGGTTCTGTCACCTGGTAAGTAACTTTCTTTAGCCCTGTCTTTGTCAGTTTTATGTATGATAGCCATATTTGTATGCTTCATTATTAAGAGACTGGGAAACCAAAAGGAGAACAGGAAATTTGCAAAACTAGAATGTTTCTTCCCTCAGAGTAGGTCAAGCAGAAGAAGGTGTATAGATTGGGGATAGAACTTAAATGTGAAGTGAAAAAAGACAATATTTAGGAGGTTTTAAAAGGAAAGGTATTAGTATAGGAAATAGGTTTTACATATTAGTCAAAAATTTTTTTTATTTTTTGCCAACAAATAAATATTTAAATCTGCCCTTTACTCTCCCATTTTCTTTTCTTATGGTGCTTTATAGCTATACATAATGGTGGGATTTATTACATATTTTTACACACACAATATAACAGTATTATTTGACCCAGTATCACTTCCAGCACTTCCCTGCTCCCTCCCCTTGAATATGCCCTTCTTTTCGGGATTTATACATTAAATAAGAAAATAACTTACAGTTTTTCTAACTACTTTAACATAACCGCGTTTACCCAAGGGTGGGATTGGAAGTAGATGGATCTCTTGAGGGGATGACTCTTTGTCATGAAAATTGTTGAGTTTTGTTTTACCATCTCAGGGCTGCTCACAGTACTTGGGGCCAGAGCCTTCGAGAGTATATGTGTGTGGACAGTTCAGCTGCCATGTTGGATTTGGCAGAAAAGCTACTGAAAGGTGAGAATGAGCTTTAAGGTAGGACTTTTCCACAGTTGGGGCAGGGCAGTTAAGGAATCAAAGGACTAGTAGAAAGAGTATTTCACTGGGAAGTAGAGAGGAGGGCTAAGAGTTAATATGAATCTGGTCTCTTTCCAATATTATAGTCAAGCAGAAAGTATCAGAGAACTTTGCAGGATTATGGTTGGGTGGTAAAGTTAGCAGGTGAAAGGAGCTCATGATTTCCCTACCCTTTTTAATGTTTACTTAGCATATTGCATCTCAGTCTCAGTGTTTTTCTTTATCCTCGGGGCCGTGTTTCTTCTGGATATCTCTTCAGTTTACACCTGTGGCTGTAAATTCATATACATTCTTAGTTCCACATCTCCTGTTTTTTTCACAGGTGGTTCACAAACAGGAGAGCCTTATGTTCCAGGTGTCTTTTTCAGACAGTTTCTACCTGTGTCACCCAAGGCAAGTAGCAGTGTTTAGTGTATTCTAAATATGGAATGTGGCAGATAGAAAATTGTGGCATCAGTCTTGCCATCCAGTATTGAATATTAGAATACAAAAGAAGGAGTAGAAGAAATATAGGGGCTAGAACTTCTTGTATTCTTAGAATTGGGAAATGTCAGGTCTGTCGTGTTCCTTGTCTTGGTCCTCAGGTACAATTTGATGTGGTCGTATCAGCCTTTGCCCTAAGTGAACTGCCTAGCAAAGCTGACCGAACTGAGGTGATTCAAACTTTGTGGCGTAAGACAAGCCATTTTCTGGTAAGTTGAATCCTCTTTCTCCTGATTTCATGCCTTCCTTCTCTCGTTGTCTTTATTCTTGAACATTTCTTCCCTTTATAGATTTCTGTGTCCCTCTTTTAGGGTCTCATCCCCATCTTTTGTATAATGCCCCGTTCCTTTTAGACCCTTACTCCCTCTTGAGTGCTATTGATGTTTATTTATGCTTTTATGTGATTCAGGGCTTCTGCTTATTTTCTCGTTTGGTGAACAGGTATTGTTGGAGAATGGAACAAAAGCTGGGCACCGCCTTCTTATGGATGCCAGGGACCTGGTCCTTAAGGTAAAGTTCTTTGCCCTTCCTTTAACGCATTCCCAGCTGTCACCAATTATTGTTACTTCCTTGAAAACTAAAGAGACTCTGTTGGGGGCTGGGATTGTGGCTCAGAGTGAGAGCACTCGCCCTGCACATGTGAGGCACTGGGTTCGATCCTCGGCACCACATAAACATAAAGATATTAAAAGAAAAAAAAAGCCAATGGAAACCTTTAAAAAAAAGAGAGAGACTCTGTCGCCTGTTGATAAGGGTAACTCTCAGGAAATTAGACAAAAAATCATCGTGATATGGACAGTGGTTGGCAGATGAAGGCCTATTTTTTATGGCCATACATATTCATGTCTGTATTGTCTGTGGCTGCTCACACTACAAATTGCATGGTTGAGTAGTTGGGACAGAGATAGACTTTGCCTACTCTGGCCCTTTAAATAAAATTTCCCCACCCTAATCTAGAGCATTGCTGAGTCAAGAACCTTGTCTCTATGGGAGAGTATGAGCCTCTGTGTAATCATAAATTTAATTGTCCTGAAATAAGATTTTTTTGAAGAGTGGAGGTTGCTGACAAGGAGAACACCATAATATGTGCCAAGTTCATGCTTTTCTACTGCTGCAGAGAGAGAGTTCTTTGGCACATTAGTGATATAGCCAGCTTAACTCAAGAATTTAGTTGGCATGATTAGAATTGAATGTTAAAGAGTCCTCAGTTCACCTTGTGTAGAAATTGGAACATGAAAATAGGCCCTGCAATCCTAGCTTTATTTCTTTGATTTCAGGGAAAAGAGAAGTTACCTTCAGATCCTCAGCCTGGCTTTGTCTTTGCCCCCGTGAGTATATTACTTCTACCTGTTGCAGAACATAGAAATGAACTTAGAGTAACCAAGAAGAATAAGAGGCTAAAGCCAAGACAAACCACTGTCCCCACTATTTTGTGTCCATATCCACTTTCTTTTTTTTTTTTTTGGTACCAGGAATTGAACCCAGGGACACTTAACCACCAACCCACATCCCCAACCCTTTTTATTTTTTATTTTGAGACAGGGTCTGGCTAAGTTGCTTAGGGCCTCACTAAATTGCCAAAGTCGGTGTTGAACTTGTGATCCCTTTTCCTCAACCTCCAAAGTCTGTGAGATTATAGGCATGCACCACTGTGCCTGGCTGTCTATCCATTTTCTGCCAACTGATTCCCTTGATTCTCTCTACCCCCTTCTCTTGTGCTGCCTTCTCCCTTGTTGGCAACCCTAACAGAGTGGATGCCTGCTTGAAGGTGTAAACCAACTGGGAAAATGGAAAGTCTGAAAGTAATCAATAAGGAACAGAAGACAGCAGATAGAAAATAGTTTTAAAAGCTGGGTGTCTGGTGGGTCTTCCAGCCCTGATAGGAACTAGAACTGGGAACAAGAAAAAAGGCCCAAATTGTTTAAGGGGAAATAAAGCAAACGGTTTCAGTGTGGCAGGCTTCTTGGGAAAACAGGATAAAGATGGGAACAACAATTTGTTGGGGGCTATGAGCTAAGGTAGGGTGTCAGCTTTAATCTGAGTAAACTGCAGCCAGTGGATTCACACTAGGAGTTCTCAGAAAAGCCACCCCTGCCTTGTGATGGCTCAAACAAACCCATAATTCATGTGCAGCTTCCATCACCTGACCTGTCTTGACTTTATCATTCTTAAATTTTACAATTAATAGTTCTTTTTTCTTTTTTGTCTTATGTCTTTATGATCACAGTGTCCCCATGAACTTCCTTGTCCTCAGTTGACAGCCTCTCAGCCCCTGGCCTGTAGCTTCTCTCAGGCTTACCATCCAATCCCCTTCAGCTGGGTATGTATTCTGAGAATATTGCAACAGGGAGAAGATAGCCTGGAAAAACAGAAAAAAGAGTCAGAGGTGGGAAGTTTGAGAATCCATAGAATAGCCTGGAGATATTAGAGCCTGCATTATAGGGACTTCAGGAATGTAGGGGGAGGGAGGACTAAAAGTTTTCTCTTATCTTTTTCCTCTAAACAATCTGTATATTCTTATCTTAGAACAAGAAGCCTAAGGAGGAAAAGTTCTCCATGGTCATTCTTGCCCGGGGGTCTCCAGAGGAGGTTAATCATTGGCCACGAATTACTCAACCTGTCCTTAAACGGCCTCGCCATGTGCATTGTCACCTGTGCTGTTCAGATGGGCATATGCAGCATGCTGTCATCACAGCCCGCCGGCATGGCAGGTATAAAAGATGTGACCAAAATTAGTAAAATGTGGCAAAACCTGCAGCGTACATTGACATCTCTTTCTATTCAATAGGGATTTGTATCGTTGTGCCCGTGTCAGCTCCTGGGGAGATCTTTTACCTGTGATCACTCCATCTGAATTTCCTCTCTCCCCTGCTCAAGATCCCCCTGAGAATTCCATAAGAGTTGACAAGGAGGTTGGGGATGTGGCTCAAGCGGTAGCGCACTCAGCTGGCATGCATGTGGCCCAGGTTCGATCCTCAGCACCACATACAAACAAAGATGTTGTGTCCGCTGCAAACTAAAAAATAAATATTAAAAAATTCTCTCTCACTCACTCTCTTTCTTTAAAAAAAAAAAATAAGAGTTGACAAGGATATGTAACAATTACTTTCTTCCATCATACCTGCCAAGGCTGAAGCTACCTGGTATCCAGTAAGAGAATGCCAGTACGCCTGCGTTTCTGCATTTGTTTGAAGTTTTAATAATAATAAATTTTTAAAGAATGGTAGTGGGTTTTGTGATTCTTAAAAGAATGGGGGTCTATTGTCCTGACCTATCCTGTAGTGAAGAGAATCCTGAGATTTTTCCATGCCAAGCTTAGCACACAAATCTTAAGCTCACCATCCCCTGCTTCTGCTGAAAACCAGGAATTCCCAGGAAGATTATCTGAAATAGTGGGGAAAACCACCCTCAGCTCTCTTGAGAACTGGCTCAACAGGTCTCAGGATAGTTATGTGGGCCACCTGAATAGGGGAATCAACAGCTACCTAACTTCATTTTTTTATATATCTCTTTCCCTTCCATCTTTCCCAGGGTCCATCAACTATCCCAGAGTTTGCCCCACACATTATCCTCAAGATTGATCCTTGTCAGTACTAAGTCTTATATTTCCACCCCTGTGTACCCAGGCAGGATCCTTGTTTGATTCATTTCTGTTTTGTCCTAGGCCTTAGGGTTTTCGTAGCTAGAGACTTTATTCACCTTAAAACTTGAAAGTCCCTCTCCCACAGTTCATATAAAGAAACATTACCAAACCCAAAATAAGATTTGTGTGCCCTATGCACAGAAGCCAACCAATCACTGAACACTAATGCTTGGAATAGAGAAAATTTAATAGAAGGACTAACCAAAAAGGCAGGGATATACCTCAAATCTCCCTACCCCAGGAAGCATAATTATATAAGCAGGAGTCCAGTGGAGGAAACTGATTAAAAGATAGGTTTTTCAGACTTGATACTGTAGTAGACATCTGATCATTGATCTATCAAGGGGTCTGCAAATCAAACTTGTAAATTGCCCTCTGTGAAAAAAATAATAAAAGTGCTTATAGAAATGGCAACAGGGACATGGGTCACCTTGACCAGAGGAAAGCAAAAATGTGCTCTGCCTAGTTTTTTTATTTGTTTGGTTCTGTTTTTCTTAACTTTAGGGAGGATAAGTGGTTTACTTTCTTAGTGAGAAAAATAAGTTAATTTTGTTATGGAGACTTAGTTACAGAAACAGGCACAGTCAGAAGTCAGGGCAGTATCAGTGTTGTAAAACTAAAAATGTCCACTCCCCACTAGACATTTCCATGCCTGAAGCTATTTTTCTGGAGTTACAGGAAAGGGGAGTCCCCTCACCTACCAGTTCCCACAGAATGCATAACAACAGCACTACCCCTCAGCCCCACCTCTTTGCCCCTGTGGCCCCAAATCCCCTCTGAAAGGGTTCTGGTTCAGATATCAACCTAGCAACTTAGAAAATTTGAGTTGAGGTGCAGAGGGTATGGAAGGCTTAGATCAAATATACTGAGTTAGGCAGGAGCAGAATGTCCCCAACACAAAATAGCTAGGAAGTAAGTACCATACATTGTCCTGTTTGGGGTTAGAGCAACCCAAGGGATGAACTAAGGCTATCCAGAGTTCTTGGATTAGTCATGGCATTGAAGAGGAGGAGAAGACAGCACTGAGCTATGCTGGCAGGGAGTCCGGAGTTTCTGGTTTTGAAGCTCAGGAAAGCATGAGCCAGGGGAGGGGCCTCCACATAGTGGGAGGGCAGGTATCTGGGGCAGGGCCCTAGCTAGCTAGGCAGAGCTGCGCAAGCAGAGTCAACCCAGAACGGAAAGAAAGCAACAGGCTCCTGAAACTCTAGCAAGTGGTCACTCTCCAACTTTGACCACTAAGATCCCACTCTTGCTCCATTTGTCATTCTGAGGCCTCTGCTTATCCTGCACCCCAGAGATGGAGTCACTCCTGGGAGTAAAAATTGGCTGCCTGTTCGGCCTGTTGGCTATCACTCTGACTTGTGGCCTTATTCCCATCTGCTTCAAGTGGTTCCAGATTGCTGAAGCTACAGGTATAACCCCACCCCATCTTCATCCCTTTACCTCTCACCTCAACCCTGCCCTATTCCTTGCTCTTGATTGTTTCACCATGCCCAAGCTCAGGTCTTTGGGTACTCCCTGTTGCTCCTTAGTCATCTTTGTTTACCCCCTCATTGCCAACTGCATTGTCACTTCTTGGTTATTAGGTCGTCACCGCCGGGTCCTCAGCCTCCTGGGCTGCATTTCAGCTGGTGTCTTCCTGGGAGCAGGGTTCATGCATATGACTGCCGAAGCCCTGGAGGGAATTGAATCCGAAATCCAGAAGTTTGAGGTGCAGGTGAGCAGCTGAATGCCAAACTGCAGAGCTGCAAGGCAAGAATGACAACTAGCACCAAGAGAAGAAAGCAGGGAGTGATGGAGCCACAGGCATGAGTGGGACAGCAGGGAAGATAGCTCAATGTGGGGCATGATGAGAGTCCCTCAGACTGGGCTTTAAGGAAAGAGATATTGCTGAAGGGACAGGACAGGACACTGAACAGGACAGGCTCTATCTCCCATCTAATTTCTGTTTCTTTCCCCCTAGAACAGGACAGAAATTAAGGGAAATTCCTCTGATGCTACTGATTCAGCTCTTGTAAGTAATCTCCCACCAGCCCCTATCTGGAGACTGAGGAGACCCAGAGAGTCCTTTACACCCAGACCCTTTAGAGAAGAATATATGAGGAATACCAGGAATCCCTTCTCCCCAGCTCAGTGTAGAGGAAAGGAGGAACCACCACAGTCTTCTTGTGCTTACAGAACACCAGGAAAAGCTCCTCTTGCTTTACTATTTACTGCCTTTCCAGGACCCTCCAACATACTCATATTATCTTCCCATATTTCTAACTCTCTTGCTATTGTGTCCCTGAGCCCCTCTGATATTCTCACTGTTGCATGTCAACCCATGACTTCATCTCCATACCCTTATTTTACATTATAGAATTTTCCCATTCTCTTCAATCTCTGAATCCATGTCCATCCAATGAAGTGTCTTCCCTTCCCTTCCCTTCCTGTCTCACAGCCCCCTTTATGTCCCTAGGTGGAGTATCCCTATGGAGAGCTCATCATCTCCCTGGGTTTTTTCTCTGTCTTCCTTTTGGAGTCGCTGGCATTGCAGTGCTGTCCTGGGGCTGCTGAAGGATCAACGGTTCAGAAAGAGGAATGGGGTGGGACTCACATCTTTGGATTCCACAGCCATGAACCTCTGCCCTCACCCTCACGGGGTCCCCTTCGAGCCCTTGTCCTCTTGCTTTCACTCTCCTTTCATTCCGTGTTTGAAGGTCTAGCTGTGGGACTACAGCCAACAATTGCAGCTACCATACAGCTCTGTCTTGCTGTCTTGGCTCATAAGGGGCTTGTAGTTTTTGGCATAGGACTGCGTCTGGTGAAGATAGGCACTGGATCACGATGGGCCCTGTTCTCCATATTATTATTAGCTCTCATGTCCCCTTTGGGACTAGCCCTAGGGCTGACTGTGGCTGGAGGGGATCCTGAAGGGGGACAAGGCTTAGCCCAGGCTGTATTAGAGGGTGTGGCAGCTGGCACATTCCTATATGTTACCTTCCTGGAAATTCTGCCCCGGGAGCTAGCTGGTCCTGAGGCCCCTTTGACCAAGTGGAGCTGTGTAGCTGTTGGTTTTGCCTTCATGGCCTTTATTGCTTTATGGGCCTGAGAGATCTCTAATGGACCTACCTAGGAAGGACCTCTCTACCCCAGTAGATACTTGATATGACTGGCCCTCGGACTTTTTTTTACTGAGACTAAATTATATTCACTATGCATTCGTATGCACTGGACCTCAGCTTTTACCTACATAAGATCCCATTTCTCACTCAGAACTGAGAAAAGGAGGTTTAGGTTGAGTGCTCATGTTTGTTTGTTTGTTTTTCCCCTGTCATTACAAATTTATTCTTTGAGTGCTTGTTGATTGGAGAATTGATACAAAGATCATTACTCCAATTTTGATTCTTGTCACACTTATGCTACTGTGTGCAATAAAAATTCTTATTTGACCCTTCCCCTTCAGCCGTATTGTATTTCATTTCTCCCAATTGCCTAGAAGCTGCCTGGAACAGGTAGTGGTAGAATGGGGAATGGGAGGGATTTGTGTTAGATGCAGTGTTTTCTTCTGGAATCAGAGCCTCTAGACATTCTGTAAGTTGCAGGCCATGACCCCACACAGGGTAGCATTGCTGAGATTCCAACTGTCCCCTCCCACCTTACCCACAGGAGTCCAGAAAATGAGCCAGCACTCCCAGCATTTAGAAGGAAAGAGGTTTAAAAATAGAAGCCAAGGGGGATTGATTATTTTCCTACACTACGTACCTCACCCCACTCCCAGTACCTACTATTAGCCACTATGTGCCCAGCAGACTCATGAGATCATCAGGCTAAATGGAGCTTGTTTCCTCCAAGTCCCTATTTTTCACACAGCCCTGTAAAGCTTCAGGAACACTAGTGGTGTTCTTTGAGCCTCTTCCCTTCTGGCTGCTTCAAGCTGAGGGATTAAAAAGCAGTGTGTTTGGAGAGGTAAAAAGATACCAGATAAATACCTACAATGATTAATTGGCTCCTGCATGACTTAGTGGCTTTCCTTCTACCTGCCCTATCATTTGTCCTTCAGTTTGAGTAATACCTACAATGTGTTGCTTTCCTTAACAACTACTAAGGACACAAATAAAAGCAGGTTACCTGATACTGAGAAGGATGACTGTTGCCCAGCCTCTTACCAATGATAAGGAGGAGGCTTACTGGAGAAATGAGGAAAGAGGAGAGTTGCTGGTTTTACCTTCATGGTTTTTATTGCTTTATGGGCCTGAGAGATCTCTAATGGACCTACCTAGGAGGATCTCTCTACCCCAGTAGACACTTGCTATGACTTTGGAAACTAACTCACCCTCACCAATTTGCCACTTCTCTGATTTTCAGTGTGGAAGTTCAAATAGCCTTAACATGACACAGACTCACTCTTTGCATCCTTTTCATCTTCTGCTTCCCACAAAGTAAGAAATACAATTATTGTGACCCTAGTTTATACACCCAGGCATCACTGATAAGACAAGCTCCAGGCAAAAATAGATACATAATTGCCAGGCCTGGTGGCACATGCCTGTAGCCCCAGCAATTTAGGAGACTGAGGCAGGATGATCACAAATTGGAAGCCAGCCTCAGCAATTCAACAAGACCCTTTCTCAAAATAAAAAGAACAGGGTTGTAGCTCAAGGGTAGAATGCTTGCCTAGCATGTGTGAGGCGCTGGGTATAATCCCCAGCATCACATAAAATAAAAAAACTAAATAGAGAAAATAAAGGTATTGTGTCCATCTAGAACTAAAAATATGTTTTAAAAAAAGCAGGAAGGGGATGTGGCTCAGTGGTAGAGGGCCCCGGGGTTCAATCCCCAGAACAAAACAAAACATAATAAATGATAGATGGATGAATGGACTGATAGATATATAAAGAGAGTGGAAGAAAGATGATACATAGATATGTCTAATATAGGAAAAAAATTCCCTGAAGCATCATCCTGTTATGTCTTCTCTTCAGTATTAAATTCAGGAACATGTAATATATTTAGAACAGTGACTAGTGCATAATAATAATGATATAGTTTTTACATTGAACACCTGCTGCATGCCAGGCCCTGCCGCTATTGTCTTCACATACATTATTTCACTTTCACAAACCTGACAGGTAGATATTATCCCTGTAGGAAGTCTAGGAAAACTGACATTCAGAAAAGTTAAATAGTTTAATCACTTAGCTCTCTGGGCTTCAAAGCTTTGTTTCTATAATTCTAAGAAAATCTCAGACTGGGGTTATAGCTCAGTTGGTAGAGTGCTTGCCTTGCATGCACAAAGCCCTGGGTTCAATCCCCAGCACCACAAAACAAGAAAAACTCAATATGTACATTCTCTTCTTCTACTTTACCTTACCTAACCTCCCATCCTATATTTTGCACACTGAATAATTGTTTATTCAAGTTTAATAAAGGGAGTATTGAGTAAGGGGTGGGCAGGATTTGAACAAAGCGAGAAATGATGTGGTAATACCCTGTAGCTGGGTATTGACAATGCTATTACCTAGGCTAAAGAAAAAGGAGGAGTTACCAGAAACTAAAGAGGAAACTAAAACTCAGTAAGAGCTATGACCTTGATAGGCCCCAACAGGAGAGGCCAAGGAAATAATCTCACCAGCCTTCTATTCTATGATCTGTGTCAGGATCTCACTGTGCAAACCCAAACCATCCATAGTGCCTTGCAAACAAGTCAACCTCATAGGGCACAGAGCATAATACAGAGATGCAGAGGTTCAAACGGAAGATTTTCTGTTGTGTTCAATTAAGTGGTCTTGAATGGACTTCAGCAGGGATGAATTGAAAAGGATATGATTTTATGGAAGCTATTTCCAAGAAAGAGTATTCGCATGCCTACAGACATTAAACTGTTAGGACTCTTCTCCATGCTTCTGGTCACTGATGCTGTCAGCGATTGATGTAAATGAGGCAGAGTTTAGGATATTTCAAGCACAAGGGAGTCACACCCTCTTTGCCATCTTCCATCCCAAGATCCTTGGATTCTCCTTTAGCTTCCTCTGCATCCAGCCTCAATACTTTTTCTTCTCTTCAGATCTATTTCCTTTGCCCAAAATTCTCCTCAATCGGGACTAGAGCCATCATTAGTATAAACTATATTGTATCAGGAGCTGGAAAAAAGCTGGAGTATGATTCCATATAGAGAGAACCAGGAAAAGAAAACAATCTTTTGATCATTTTCAAAAGACATGCATTTCCAGCAAGAATACAAAGAGGGCTATCAGGGAGCCAAAGATGAAGGAGACCAAATAAAGAAAGCTGAAATAAGAACAGGCATAAGAACCTGGGGATAGCTGAGACAGCTGGGCTATGGTGACTAGAAGCCAGATGCAGGAGTAATCTTTGATTCACTCAGCCATAAGAGACAGGTTGTAACAGAAGATAACCAGAATAATAATAGAAGTTGAAAAATAAAAATAGGAGAGGCCAGGTGCTTGAGTACATGCCTGTAATCCCAGCAACTCAGGAGGCTGAGGCAGGAGGCACACAAGTTAGAGGCTCATGCTGGCAACTTTGCAAGACCCTATCTCAAAGTCAAATAAAAGGGCTGGGGTTATACTGCTCAGTGGCATATCACTCCTGGGTTCAATCTCCAGTACCAATATACACACGTGTGTATGTTAAAACATATGATGTGTATGTTTAAATATATATTTAATACATGTAATATCTTTTATATATAAGGGACAATATGCAGACTGCAAAAAAGGATGAGGGAAGCTAGCTGGAATAATCAGGAGAGAATTTATGTGGGACAATGTTCACACCTCCTCTGTGTCACCCTTCCCCACCCCTCATTCTCTAGTCCCACATGTGTATTTTTTAGACACTTAGGAAGAAAATAGTAAAATGATGCATTCAACTACCCTGCCAGGAGGCAGCTTTCCATTCTGTCACCAGTTCATTGTTCTCTGAAGGATCCATTTGGAACTCCCTACCTTTTCTTTGCTTCAGACTGAGGGTTTGGTTTGGATATTGCCATGATGAGGTGACAATTCATGAAAAAGGAGAGATCAGAATAGATTCCAAGAGAAAACAAAGTTGAGGGGATATGATGGAGCAGAGTGGAAAGTCAGTCAGAAATCAATATACAGGGACAAGATATGTTCAAAAACAAAAAGCAGCTCCAAGCTAATTCCCATGAGACAATTTGTGCCACTTGGCCCCCTCCCTGAAGGATAATTTTGGAGTGTCTTGCTCACCCTCACTGGAGGAAGTAGTCCCTTGCTCCTGACTCTGGCCCGATGGAGTATAAAGAACAGCTGCCAGAACTCGAGTGGGTTGCTGTGTGTGAGTGTGGCAACCATCCAGACACTTTCACCTTTCCCCATGGACCTGAGCAGGGAGCCCATTGTCACTAGTAAAGGTGAAGAAAGAGGGGTACAGAGAGGGATTACACCCTACGCACTAGTCTATGGGGATGCTTATAACATGCCAGTCACAGATTAATTTTCACAATTTTAATTGTATTCTGAGTTACTGTCTTTAGATATGTTGGATGTCAAATACAGAATTCATTATATTTTTACTATATAATTTTTCAATATGGGGAAAATTCTGCGGTTAGTAAAGAAAGAGAGTACAAATAATTACTTGGCTCTGGACACCATTTACTCTCGCCACACACATGGCCTCCAGTGAGAACTGACAGTCATTTTCCAGTTAGTCCTAAAATCTCTCTAGAAAAATGGTGTCTCCTAGTCAATGTTTTCCCTAACCATTAGAGTACTCTCCAGTGTTCAATATCTATCCCTTCACTGTTTTGAGTGCACAGTCCTACATTGCTTAGTGACAGGGACAGGTTCTGGGAAACGTTTCATGAGGTGATTTTGTCATTGTGTGAACATCATAGAGCATACTTACACAAATTTAGAAAGCCATATAGTGTCACTAGGCAATATAATCTTCTGGAACCATTGTAGTACATATGCTCCCCTTTTTTGGGGGGAGGGGCATGGGGTGTTGTCCCAGAGATTGAATCCAGGGAAACCTAACCACTGAGCCACATCCCCAGCCATTTTTTATACTTTATTTTGAGACAGGGTCTTGCTAAGTTGCTTAGAGCCTAAGTTTTTAAGTCTGGCTTTGAATTTATGATCCTCCTGTCTCAGCCTCCCAAGATGCTGGAATTACAGGCATGCACCACTGCACTGGGCTCAAATGGTCCATTTTTTATCAAACCATTATTATATAGTTCATGGCTGTACCTTCAGAAACTTACCCTGGAGATTCTCTTTATGATATCCAGAATTTTCAGGCTAAGACCATAAATCTCTTTTCACTATATTCTTCTAGTTTTATTCTCATTCCCATTGAATTTTCTCTTAGCTCTCTTGAGTTGTAAAGTCTAGGAAGTACTCAGATTCCTTGAATTAAAAAGAGATAAACAGGAGTTCTAAGCCTGAAGCACAGGGGAAAATAGGGTGTTTGTG